CGGGGGCGGGCCCGCGTCCGAAGCCGCGCCTCCCTCCCACCTCCCTGGCGGAAGATGGCTGCAGAGGCTTTGGATCAGGGCTCTGGGATGTGACAGCGTCCCCGGGGCTGCACCCGGGCCCGGAGACGCAGGTCACCTGGTGTCAACAGTCTGCGGGGACGCGCACTGCGAAGAGAGGAAGATCTGATCATGGTCGGCCTGGTCCGAGAGGCCGCGAAGGGTCGGCCTCCTGTCCCAGCGCGCCTCGGGCCAAGGGGCGGCGTGAGAAGCTCGCGGAGTGTAGCTCTTCGGAGCGCGTGGGCCGAGCCTTCCTCTGAGGTCCGATGGAGATCAGCCTCTCCTTCCCCACCGAAGTACTCAACCCCCCGCATATACAATTTTGGTGTATGTGTAGCCCGACAACAGTTCAAACATCCTGTTAGAGGAAGCTGGTAGCCTAGGCAATCCGTGCAGGCCTGCTGTGGTTGGTTTGGTGCAAGGCCTAGCAACAACCGATACCAGAAAAGGAGACCCGTCAGCATCACAGATGGGTTCAGTCCTGTTTATCCCTCTGCATACCTGCTCGCCAACCGGGGTTAAGCGCTGAGTCGCAGCGGTAAATAGGACAGGGACCCTGCCGTCATGAAGACAACAGCCTAAAGGGAAAGCTTGTCATCAACCACAGAAGCATGCTATTAAAAAAATAACTAGGGGCTGGCAGTTGACCGTGGTTCAGGGCGCTGGACTCCCACATGGCTGACCACTGTTGAAGTCCCAGACCTGACGGCTTACTTCTCATTTTCCCTCTCTCATCTATCCCTCTCTGGTCAAATTAATATAAATAAATAATTAATTAAAATAAAATTAAATAGAAGAATTCTTTTTTAAAAAAAAAAGAATTTTAAAAAAATATTCCCTGAGCACGAGGGACCAGCAGTTGGCGTAATGGCTATGTCGCTGGACTCCCTTGTAGTCAACCGTGATTCGAGTCCCGGACCCGGCAGCTTAAACTCACGCTGGGCGTGTGTGCGTGTGTGCCCAAGGTCCCAAGAGGAGAATGGAGGAGAAGGAATTGCAGTGTGGCCATCCCCTCTGGGGGGTGATTTCTCGCTTTCTGTCTCTCTGTCTTTCTGGAGAGCACACTTCCCCTATAGCAAAAACCTCTAAAAAAACAAAACAAAACAAAACAAAACAAAACAAAACAAAACAAAACAAAACAAACAAAACAAAAACTTAGCATGAATCTATGAGAACCTGAACCTTCCAGGGTTTAGAATAGAGTCTGGTAAGGATTGCCCCAAGAAGTAGCATAGAAGAAGAACTTGTAGTAGAACTCATAACATTCGCCATTTATGAGCTAAAACCTGCAGCACTAACTAGGCAAAGAGCAAAATGGCACGTGCTAGAAACCACCCCCCACAGAAGGCAACATGGCAGACTATGGGAAGGAAGGTGTGTGCCGGTCAAGTACAGCCACGTGGAGGGAAATGACAGGAAAGGAGCTGAAGAAGCCGGAGTTCTACCATTCAGGGTAATATAAGCTGGAGGCCTTCAAACATCTTTTGACGAGGCCCACGGTGAGAAGACAAGTTCCCCATGCTTACGATTGGCATTGCAATCTCATACTTCCGCTCCATTTTATTCCACTTTTTTGTAAGTGCCAATGGCTACCCACAAAATTGTTCCAGTGATGCCACTGTTGGCTCACAAGCTGCAATTGGGAAAGAATATTGTAAATCATGTTGAAGATTTTGATCTTTTTATTTTTTTAAGTTAATTATTTTTTTCTTCATTAAATCGCTATACATCATTTAGCTTGTAGAGAGAATTTACCGAACTCCATGGAAGACTTTAATCTTTCAATGGCAGTGATAGCCATATGTGTTTTCTGGTCAGACACTGGTCCAGTGGTAGTCCAGAATGGAAGTGGGGGGGAATGCAATAAACCAGGTGAGAGATGGTAACTTGGTCTAAGATACAGGAGTAGAGAGAGGACCAGAGCCCCTACTTGGGGCCAGGGCCCCTGCTTACATCTTATGATGTAATCTGCTCCCCCGCCGCCCCCCCACTGCGCCACCTGGGGAAGTGAGGAGCGGAGCCTGTTGACTCCTGCACAGGAGGGCACCGCCATGAGGGCTGAGCGTGACTGGAGCCAGGGCTCTCTGAAAGCCAAGGCTGCCTTTTCTCTGAGTCCCAGCAAGTCTGTAAGGTGAACCTATAAACTAGAAGACTACGCTTCAGGAGACACACTTCGAAGTTATCTTCACAGGTTTCATGTCTGAAAATACCGACTAGATTCATTCCCCAAAATAGAATCTAAATTTGTGTCCTAATTTAATTTAATGTTTAGGTTTTTGTCATAGGGCGCATGTGCTTGCTGGAAAGAGACATAGAGAAAGAGAGAGAGAATCACCCCCCACCCGGGAGGATGGCCATGCTGCAGTCTCTTCTCCTCCATTATCCTCTTGGGGTATTGGGCACGCATGTACACATGCTGGGTGTGATTTTCAAGCCACCCAGTCCAAGACTTCAACTGTGGTTTGGCGTGTGGGAGTCCAGCACCTTAACTGTCACACCACCTGCTGGCACATGTATCTGAATTTAAAAAAGAAAAAAGTTCAGTGAGATGTCACAAAGAATCCAGACTTGAAGTCTCCTTTGATATGGGGTGATAACCTCACATCATCTCATCCTTGGGGGCCTCAGTCATGGGCTCTCCTAGGGACGATGCCTCCTGGATACTGAGAAAAGTAAAGGTTTTATTGAATTTTTTAAATATTTGCTTATTTTATAGGATGAGAGGTGTTTCCCAATGTCAATTCATGGTGTCAACTATAAAAAGCTACGTAAACATAATTGAATGACTAGGACTCAGTCTCTCCCTCCCTGTGGTCTTCGAATAGCTATTATGGCGCTTGGCGTGTTAGGGGGTCAGTAACACCTATGCCTGTCTTCTCTACGAAACCGTGTACCCCGGGGGCAGAGGCGGGTAATGTGTCCTTGGTCTTTAGATCCCAGTGGCTACCACAGAGTCTGGAGTAACAGATGTCAAATAGGGTGACTATATTGTATTTTAACAACTGACAGAAAATATAGTACATTAAATGATAAGCCATTGTGACAAGGTATTTATAGCATTTTACCAATAATTCTCAAAATTTCTTGGCCCCTGCCACCAGTCTCCCAAGCCCCAGGCAGTTTTTCTTCCCCATGGCTGCAGAGCAGTGACTGGCGGACAGGTACGTAGCATATTTGCACATCCTATAGCCAAGATGATTTTGTCTAGTTTATTTATTTTAGTTTATGGAGGCTCTTTGCATGTGCTTGCCTTCCAAAGATAAAATAATGTTGTTATACAGAACTTCATTTTGCAAATTACAAACGTCCTCACCCCAAAATTCTGGGACAAAATACAGTCCCCAGTATGAGTGCCGCGAGCTAACTAAAGTATTCACTAGCTGTCCATCTGGGGAAATGAAAGATGCTGCCTTTTTGTGCAACCTGCCTATGCCCATCAATAATTCACTGCTATCTCTGCATTTGGTCACCTTCAGTCCCTTTTCTTTTCCATGGCCTCTTTTCACAGAAGAGGGGGCTTCAAACTAGACCCTCGTAGTCTCGGTATCACACCCAGCCAGTCCCAACAGCTGTTATTAGCATTTGCAAGAAGAAAAGTAATGGCCGATGTAGAATCAAATGAAATTGACTTGCACTTCCAGGTTTTGGTTCTGTCCTAAGTTGTTTGAAAATAAGAGCCCAACTAAAGACTTCCTCCCCCTGCCTCGTGCCCTCATGACAGGTGCATCCCCTGATCACCCTTTCGACCAAGCTGTCCTCATCCCTCAGGCCCAGCTTTAGCCCGTCATCCCTTCTAATCCATCCTTCAGCTGGGTGACTTCCTAACATAAAGCCGATGACGCCATCCTATCTTTTAGCCCTTCAATGACTCTTTTTGTCGTAGGTGAAGCTCAACTCCTTGGCTGTCCCCCATGGCCGTGGAACGCTGGCCCTCCCTCTAGGGTCTCATCTCGTGCCATGCCCACCTTGCTCTCAAGCTCTAACCAGTGTTGGAACTTCTTGCAACTTCTGAATAGGCAGTGGTCTCTCCCAGCTCTTGTCCTTGAGACTTTGCATCACAAACAACTACCTTTGACCTGAAATTTTCACCACCTGGTTCTATCCTTTTACCCCTACTGTTTAGCTGGTTTATTGTGTCTTTTCTTTTTTTCTTTCTTTATTTTAGAGTGATTCAGATTGTAATATGAAAAAGCTGTGGACATTTGTTTTGCAACAAAACAAATACATTAAACACCTTAAAATGGGTGGTTTGGGGCCAGCAGGTGGCGTGGTGGTTAAGGCGCTGGACTACATGGTTGACCATGTTTCAAGTCCCAGACTCGGTGACTTGCTTTCTCACTTTTCCTTTCTCTGTCTGATCAATTTTAACTACAACAATAAATAAAATTAAATAATTTTAAAAATAAAAATAGATAGGTAAGATGGTAAACTTTGTTATGTGCTTTTTACCACAGTATAAAGCAGTAGAGAAAAGTGATATTAGCCAATTTCAGATTTCATAGAAGCAACACACGTGTACACGTACACACACACACACACATGCACACACACACACACACTCTTTTCTTCCCTATCCTGCAGCCTGCACAAAAGACATCCAGCCCATAGAACTACTGAACACTTCTAGATTATTGAACTGTCTTTTAGATATTTGACCACACGTTAAAGGAGTACTCCAGGCAGGAATAACATTTAATTGCTTCATATAGATGAATAGCTAAAATAGTTTTTCTGAAACTTTGTGTATGTGTGTGTGTGTGTTTATAGATATATAGAGAGAGAGGGAAAAAATGTGATTATGAGCTGGAGCCAGGCCACCTGGGCTCAAGTCCAGTTCCTGGCTCCTCTCACTGGCTGCAATCTTAGGCAGATTAATCTCTCTGTGCCCCAGATTTCTATAAAATCAGAAAAATGTTAGAGCCTACCTGCTAATACTTTCCTAAGTATTAAGTGCATTCACATACTACATTTTAATTATTCTGGAACATGTTTTTTCACATCTCTGAAACTGGGATGGCAAGGTTTAATTATTTTGGTGGTACATAAAATGGTGTATCTTACAATCTGTGGCCCTTAGATGTGATGAAATGAGCTGTATGGGGAATTGCCTCAAAACTCCAGACAAAAGGAAAAAGTGAAGGTTTGCCATCAAGAAGCTTCGGTTTAAATTTGACCTCTGCTATTTATAAGCTATTTCACCTCTCTGGGCCTTAAATTCGACATCTGTTAAATGGGAATAAAAACACCTACCTCATACTGACAGGAGAATTAAATGAGAAAACCAGTTGGAAGCCCCTAACCTTGAGCAAAACTCAATAAATGTTGAGTTTTTTTCCTCCCATCTCTGTAAGTAGGTGGTGAACTTTCATTTAGGAAAATGACATGCATTTAGAAAAATACAGAACTTCCAAGGCAAGTATTTTAGAGTTTTGGGTTTTATGTTCAGAAAGATTAAACTCAGTTTATAAACTGGCTAACTGCTGGATTTGACATAGTGGTTCAACTCCACATCAAGGTAAGGCTTTCAGCACAGAACCTTTCCAGTGCAGCCCTCTGAGACAGAGATTCTTGATCCAGGGACCCTTGTCTTTAATCATGTCTCAGGCAGTTTTCCAATGCACCATCACAGGACCACATGGGCGGAAAATGCTCACTAGGAGCAATGTCTGTTAGCTTGAGGCTACACGTGGGTGGCCACTGAGACAGACAGATATATTCTCTACCACGCTATCCAACATTAAGTTTCATAAAGGTTCAGGCAACTAAATACAATTTGAAGAAAAAAAAAAAAGCACATTGGTTAATAGAAGGGGACTTCAAAAAGTTTGTGGGAAAATAAAATGATTAGGTCATCAGAAAATTCATATTTTTCTGTTTTTCTATGCAAAATATGTTATGACTTTTCTGATAACCCAATAAAATACAAGTTTATCTGTGTGCAAAAAAATTTTAAATCCATGAGTCAGCCAGGTGGCCTGGTGACTAGGGTGTCTGGATCCCACCAGCCAACTGCACGGTTCAAGTCCTGGACCTTGAAGTTTGAAGAACATGCTGGGTGTATGTGCACACATGCCCAAAATACCAAGCGGGGAAGGGAGAAGGGATTCCGGTGTTGCCATCTTCCTGGGAGGGAGGGAGTTGGTTTCTCATTTTCCTTCTCTCTCTCTTCCTCTCTGTCTCTCTCTCTAGCAAGTGCAAGCACCCTTTACAACAAACAAACAAAAATAAAATTAAATCTATGCATAGGTTTTTTGTTTATTTTTTGAGAGGTTTTTGCTATAGGGCATGTGTGCTCGCCAGAAAGACAGAGAGAGACAGAGAGACAGAAAGCGAGAAATCATTCCCCCAGGGGGGATGGCCACGCCACAATCCCTTCTCCTCCATTCTCCTCTCTTGGGCATGCATGCACACGTGTCTGGCGTGAGTTTAAGCCCACCCAGTCTGGGACTCAAACTGTGGTTGGCTACATGGGAGTTCAGCAACATAGCCATTACGCTAACTGCTGGTCCCATAGTTTTTTTCATAATATGCATATTCCATAGCAATTTTAAAGATCAGTCATATTACGAAATATTTAAACTACTTTGCAGAGTTGAGAGATGAGACCATTCTGACAAGAGAAGGGAAAAGAAAGTCTCAGTCATTCATCCTTAGACTTAGGAGGGTCTAAGTCTGTAACCACCCTCCTTTGGTCTTTAAGAGGCCTTACCTACTGAGAAAAATGGGAAGGAGCAAAAGGAACCACGATATTGGCAGTGCCTGTTAAAACACCTACTGATTCCCGAGGCTTCCCCTCCTGGTTCCCCCGGGTCCCAACTCTGGCCACTAGTGGTACTAGGTCCCGGGTATTACTACTGTGTCACATGAAGCTGCCTCATCCTGGTGCTTATGCCCCCTCCCCCAGAGCTCTGCCTACATTCCCAATGGCATCTAGACTGTGGGCTCAGTTCCCGGGTCGCTCACAGGCCTGCCTCCTTCACCTTGCCCAATGCAGGGTAAGCCCCTGTCCCTGGCAGCAATTTCTGCTGTGCAGGTCCCTGGGCATTTGAGGCC